ATAATCAAAAACCCCTTTTCTTTCAGAAATTTCAATAATGCTTTTTTTTAGAGATGTAAGTGCTCATAGGTAGAATTTTGTAACTAACACATGCGGAAAGTGCCTTTACCGCCCTTAAAAAATATCATAGATATAATGGGGTAGTATACTATGTATAAAAATCAGTAAAAAAACTGCTCGACAAGTCGACAGTATTCTATAGGCTAAATGGTGATGGTATAGTGGGATACTATATTATTTTCCAGCATAGTGTCTATAGAATTAGTCAGAGAAAAACAAACTGTAATTTGAATTTAGCGCCACAGCGGCGACCAATAGTATTCAAGCCGCTGACCATCTGGCAACGCTGCTCAAAATTCCTCAAAATGACAGCTGACTTCAACAGTTCAACGATGGTGTCGTGTGAATCGTGTGACATATGACATTGTCACAGTATCTTGAGTGCGTTCAAGGACGGCAATGCTAATGCCAAAACGTACTTTTTCCCTTCTACCGGCGATGCCAAATCCGGTGTGAATTTGCTGGAACGCCAAATACCATTTCTCAGTTCTCATGACACTTGCCATCAAAATTAACCTATACATTTGTCCCTGGTTTGTTCATGCTTATTTTTTAATTTTCGTAAAAATTCTCAAATTGATTATTTTCAGATCGTCAGCGTTAGTATTGTCTATTCACCACTTTCACTTCCGTTCTAGAATATTTTTGTATTGTATTATTTATGTGTTGTTATTTCGTTATTTGTGCCAGAAGTGATAGACTCCACTTTTCCAATCAAAATTCGTATAACCATTTCTAGACTCAGTTGAAAGCACCTCCAAAAGTTACTTTACCGATTTTGAACGTGTAAAGCCAACCGTTTTTCGCATGTTGGAGCCGAACTTGGCCGTTTTTGAACGCAGCCGTTGTTTACGTTGTTTGATGTAGTAAATTTGATGTTTCGTTTTTGACGGTCAATGTCAGTGCAAACTGTGCGTTCGAGAAAATTAAAAGAAAAAAATTCCAGGCTATTGCGGTTTTTACAAAGCAACTGATTACACTAAATAGTACGATACGTCGAGTATATCACTACGTAGTAGTTAAAAATCACTTGTATACTATCCCATTTGCCATATTCCTTTCACGTGAAAGTGGCCCAATGGTGGCCTATTGCCACCATATTGAATCCTGGCATTTGTCGTTTGGATCCAAGGATAATAGACACTACTACTACAGGATAGCTTATCCCCGTAAGGCCTGTGTAGATCAAATCTCAAGCCCCCCACCACGCCCAAAAACCAATGATGACGTAGACAGCGTGTCATTTCTCGCTTTGCCGCAGGGTGTTTGCACCACAGGTTATGATTAGGCTGGCTTTTGCTTTATGCATACTTCTCTATGGCCAGGGCCAGTCCATTAAGGAAATGTCATTAGTTTTTGTAAAGGAAAAAACGGGTGTCCCACTTTTTATGCTCACGACTGTACATCCATTTTCTATTGATCATTGGTCACGTTCAGCCGAACTCAACATATTGAGTGATCAGTCAGCAGCTTTGTTGAAATCAGATGAAACTCAACTTTTAGCCAATGAAAACTGTTCTACGTCGTGTATTTCTCTTGTTGGATCAAAGCCGCTGACTAATCACTCAATATATGTTGAGCCCTGCTGAACGTGCCTAATGTGAATCATTACTCATACAGTGAGTTTTTTTTTTCATTACTCAATTGTTTTCAACCAATGATGGTTCTCATTACTCCACTATTTAAGAGCCAATCAGAAAATTCGACAAGTTGACAACATACTTCAACCTTCCAATCGGTCATTTTGGCAGCTGATTTAAAGAAGACTTGTGCTAACCTAACCTCACTTTGGGGAATTCAAAATGGAGGCCAATGTCTTTTTTCCACTAATAATTTCTTAAACTAAAAACTTTCCATCTTAGAATACGAAAATTATCCTCCCAAACACTAGAAAATCATCTAAAAGCACCACAAAATACACAAAAAACAGTTTTTTGATGAAAAATTTCACGATTGCTTCAATTAAATTTATGGCGCCAATTTTTTGGCATAGACCATGCATTGACCACCATTTTGTTTGGATTGCCCTATTAATTTTGTGTTTCATGAAGTTTGTTATGAAAATTCAATAAAAAACAGCATAACTCGTGACTTTTACCAATTAATCATAGAAATAGTATAGTATTCTACTCGTGGGTAATGGCTATTACTCACTCGGACGATTACACTACTCGCCTGCGGCTCGTAGTGCAAACTTCATCCTTCGTGAGTAATAGCCATCATTACCTGCTCGTTAAATAATATACTAGTCCATCATAGGCTGAGTTCGGAATTTGCATCTGCGAGAAAATTTTGACGGACCTCACGTGGTCACTTATTTTTTTTCACGTGTCAAATCAAGTGACATCTGTCAAATTTTGTTCATTTTGATCGCAGATGCAATAGGGTACTTGCATGGAAAATTAAATTGATTATTGTTCATTGCAAACTGTTGGAAATCGAAAAAAAAATCGTTACTTTTTTTTATTTCGCCCAAATATGATTATTCCGGAAGTTATTCAAATATTAAGTTTTGTATATATAGATATACTGAGCATGTGAAACGTCACTTATTTATTAGATAAGTGACGTCATAGGCAGATTTCAGATTGTTGTATCTCCGTCAATTTTTGACAAAGAAGAAAAAGAAAAAACACGTGTTGACTTATTTTTCATGGACTATCGAAATCAGCAATAAAAAAATTTGATGCAAGGAGCCTATTACCGTACCCAGCCATAAATGTATATTCCAAACTACGACCGCTGGCGCAAACAGCTAACGACACCGTTGATGACGTCGACAACGGTGCAACACCATATGACCTTGATTCCAGAAATCGAGGTCAATGAGCAATCCTGTGGGTGTAATATCCTTCGTAGGTTGTCTGATACCTTTTATGACGTCATATGAATGCCTAAACATAATGCAAATCTCGATAAGAACCACCTGATGAAGTTATCTGTTTACCATTTCCAGAAAACTCACTTGAAGCAATTAACATTTTGCCTATGATATCGGCAACGTCGCCGAAATTTGTTCTAGGGGGAGTCTCGATTGAATCTCAATCGCGCTATCTCTCTCTCTCGCATTGCTGACTGTTTCTCTGTCTCGCTCAGCTGAACTCGACTCGAGCTAACTGTATTCCACCGAATGAGCGTTAACAATTCGGGCGTGACGGCTCAATCTCATCCACTGCCCAGGAAAATGAACGCGCCTAAAGAAGAAATGTTCGTTCTTGCTCTTGTTTCAGTTTTACATCACTATCCAATCCAGTAAGAACTCTCTTTTAGTGCACCACTAGGATTGGATTTTGATAAAAAGATGAAAAATAACTACACATTTTTTAAAAGGACTTTCTAGCAGTTTTTTTGTATCGCTCCCAGTGCAAGTTTTGTTTTGATGCAGAACATTTTTAGCCTAGTTTTTGCGTGTTTGGACCGGTTTATCAGTGGACGCTTATCCAGTTTAGCTGTCGATTAACTACTGATAATTATTAGTTTACTGATAATAACCGGTCCTGAGAAAAGAAGATAATATATCCAGCAAGAATTTTCTTTTGGTACGCCATTGGGTTAGGACTCTGACTGAACTCGAGTAAAGTTCGGTTAATCCTCATCGAGCAAAAAAATTACAAGACCCCGTGATCGGTCCTACTCCTACAACTTCCAATAAGAGATAACGTGAACATCTGTCAACAGTGTCATTGTGCATTGATGTTTTACACTAGGACGATAAATGAAAACACCTGCAAGAGATTCCACAAAGAAACAAAACTTCAAAGTGGGCCTCTGCCCTCTATCAACACATTTCTGCTCTCTTTTTAAATCCAGAGGATAATTATTTGCTCGACGTGCTCCCCAATGTTCCCACACAGCAGGACACCCTACAATTCACCGAAACGATTTCGCGGAGCACCCAAAATTTGTCCGTAGAATCAGAAATTCGTCTACAAAATGGTTCATGGGACAATTTTTGATGTGTTGGAGTTGGAACAGACCTTATATTGGAGCAGCCGCGAAATAAACTCCTTTCACTCCAAAGTTAGGAACTCTTTCTATCAAAAAAGGCAGGATATTCATAAATATGTTACCTACTTCGACAGCGAGAGCTTATTCAAATAAAATGTAAAAAATATGACATATCCAGTTTTTTTCTCAAAAATTGTAAAAAAATTGATAATCTAAAATCACATTTGATTATTTCAACTGCCAATTCTACGCCACTGTTTTGACCCTCTCTGCCACCGATATAAAGAATGCACTCTCTTTGGAAACTGATCAACGTTGGACAGGGCCAAAAAGGAGATCACGCAGGTCAAATATGCGGAACCGGAACCAGAGGTACCCCCTTGCCAAAAAATCCAGAACAAGTTTTGGTAAATCTTCACAAGCGGGGTCCTTTTTTTTACCTCGATATTTTGTCGGTGTAAATTGCATTGTATGTTGATGTTAGGTGCGTAATAAACGTTAGAATCATTACGACAATTGAGCGTTATTTAGCCCTTTTTATTAAACGGGGAAGGGCATTGTCCATATCCGTATCATAACTGCAATCCGGCAACAGGTTTCAAAAGATTGAAAGCTTTCGTTGCTGCGCGATTCAGAAAAAGATTTGCTTGAAACTGAAATATCGTAGGCTATCGAATTTATCTTTTCGGTTGCAAGTTGATGTTATTTTACACCTGCGCTAGAAGTTTTCGGCATATGACCCTGTTTCATAAATATCCGTTTGTACACGCAAAGGGAATGCCTAATAAACGACCCTAAAAGAAGTTCAATCTATTCAAAAATTGCTTTTAACCTGCCTTCCAGCAATGCGATTTGAATAATAAAATCTTGTTCCAATTAATTCCTATTGCAGCCATATTGTTTTTTGTTTCGGAATGCATTATTGCGTAAAATCTCATATCTGTCATCATAACGATGTCAATTTTCAATTTATTGTCAGTGTCAGTGTCAAAGGGTGGGAAATGATAACAAAACGAAGGTTAAACGTTGAACAAGTTTTCCTTTTTAAGAAAATTCTAATTTGATGTGATAATTACCTTTGTCTAGCATCATGCCCTCGGTACCGATAACGATGGCCAAGCTCTACATGGGAAATTTACCGCCCGGAACTATCGAGGGTGACCTCTATCAGCTCCTGCACAGGAACGGATTGTCGGCCAAGAAAATTTCGGTTAGGGAAGGCCTGCGAGGGCTGTACGCTTTCATAGAGAGTAACGATCAATCTTCTGCCGATCAAATCATCGACAAAATGAACGGTAAGTTGTTATTCTAGCATTTTGCATTATAATTTGCAATCTGCCAGCACGTGCAACGTGCAACTTGTTTTTATGTGAGGTTATAATACGCTGTGTTTTTTCTACGAGTGTGCGCAAAGTAGCTACTTTTTCGCATTTGTGCGGGCAAATTTTTCAATATAATTATTAGGTAGAGGTATAATATAAGTAGGTAGTTTCACAGACAAGCGATTAAATTCTGGTACAGGCAATTCGGTACCGGCCAATCACAGTATGTTATGTAACTGGTCTTGTTCTTTAAAGCTTCTTTGGAGATTTGAAAATTGAAATATTCTCTTCCGCTTTATTTAGGGCTTCCAATTTAGTTTTAATCGATATTCCAAAATGATGATGATGATTAAGGGTTTGAACAGTTTGAAGATGCTGTTTTAGACTTAATTTTCAGGGTAATATGAAATATGATTCCTAATTTTATTTTTTGATATCTCTCTCTCTTTGTAGTTAAAACAGAACAGGCCTTCCAAATATTGAAATATTATTGGTGTAGCATATCATCCTTGGAAATTTGGCAGGTTGACCCCGACCCTCGTATAATACCTAATGACATTTGTCAAATTCCGGGTAGTTTTAAGTGTGTTTCACATAATTCCTTAAGTGTCGCGGTATTAAAATTCTCTGGCCCTCTATTTATGCTCTGGGGCCCAATTCTTGAGAAATATCGCATACGTTATTTGATTATTTCATAAGAAAAACTCGTAATTTCACTCGTAATTTCACTACCTAATTTGGAAAAATATTTTGGAACTGAATCTACTCAGATCAGTGGCGTAGCCAGGATTTTGTCTTGGGGGGGGCAAATTTGCAGGAAGCGTCTTTTGCGGCCCTACCGCGACCGCTGCCGGAGGCTTAGCGCCGCAGGCGCGAAATTTTTGGGTGCCACGCCCCTTTTTCAGGTTTCTTTACGCTATTTTTGGGACTGTTTATCTTAATTTTGAAGAAATATTCATAAAATGTAAGGGTCTTGGGGGGGGGGGGCAAATGCCCCCTTGCCCCCCCCCTGGCTACGCCAGTGACTCAGATATTTTACACATTCTGGCAACTCGGCTTTCTGTTTCATAACCCTGAAATTTAAAAAAAATACTTTGTCATCAAATATTCAAATGTCATTATTATACAAGGGTCAACCTGCCAAATTTCCAAAGATTATGCTACGCCAATAACATTTGATGCTTGTATATTATGTTAGGGGCAATCGAGGGGGCAATATAAATAAATTGCGATTTGCAATTTTAATCAGACATTTACCGAGGGACGGTTAACTGGTCAAAATTTGTGTACAAGTTGGTCAAAATCCCAAAAGATCTCACAAGATCTACTTGAAATCCCTGAAAATCTTTAAAATCTTTAGAAATTCAACAAAATCTCTCGAAATCGCATAAAATCTTACAAAATTATATTGAAACCAAAAAAATCCCGCAAAATCTTATGAAATCATCATTCCTAAAAAATATTTCCTTTAAAATTCCCAAAAATCCTTTGGAATCGCCAAAAATCTGTTGGAATTTCTAAGAATCCTTTAGAATCTCTAAAAACTTTTCAAAAACCCCTAAAATGCTCCAGAATCACCTAAAATTTTCAAAATCTAAAATCTTCTGAATTCCTGTAGAATCGTGTAAAGATTTCCAAATTCCTTAAAATCAATAAAAATTTTAAAATATTTTTGTTCATTATTTTATAAAGTTAGCTAAGCAGTTGATTGGTCAAAATTTGTGTACAGGTTGGTTAACATAATATACAGTCGCATGCAGTCATAATACAGTCGCTTGCAATCATTATAAATTCTGTGCAGTCACATGCAGTAGCGTACCTACATTCCCAACATGAATTTTCAGTTCTTATTGAATTTTAGTAAAATTCGAGAAAATTCCACAAGTGGAATGCCCAGGAATTTCCAGCTGAGAACATGGAATTTCAGTGAATTTCCGAAAAATTGTTATGAAAAGAAATTTTGAAAAATTCCTTGAAGTTGCATTGGACTTTCGAGAAATCTTCAGCTATGAACGTGGAATTTCGAAATATTCTCATAAAACTTTAGTGAATTCCGAGGAATTTTTAAGAAATTACATGAAATGTCAATGAAATTCCGAAGAATTTTATGAAAATTCAGTGGAATTTCTATCGAATTACACGAAATTCTGAATGGGTTGCATGGAGGAATATTCTAAACAATTATACATGGAATTACACCGAAATTCCCCCAACATGAAATTTCAGTGCTCGTTAAATTAGGTACCTACATAAAGAATTTCAAAAAATTACTTACATGAATTCCGAGGAATTTTCGTCGAACTATATGGAGCTCCGATGCAATTCCATGGAATTCCAAGGAATTGTCAGGGACTTTCATGAAATTTAAGTGGAATTTTGAACGACTCTTGTCAAATCATATAGAATTCCAGTGAAATACCGAAAAATTTAATGTAATTACATGAAGCTTTATTCTTATTCCGAGGAATTCCCAGTTAAAAACATGGAATTTTAGTGAAATTCCGAAAAATTTCCATCAAATTACTGAATTTTAGTAAAATTACAGAAAATTTCTGAGGAATCTCCGGCTAAAAACTTGGAATTTCGGTGAAATTTGGAAAAATTCCCATATAATGACGTGAAATTTCAATATATTTCGGAGGAATTTCGGTGAATTTTCAAGAAATTACTTAAAAGTTTCATTAATATTCCCAGGAATTCCTGACTATTGAAAGAGAATTTCAGTAAAATTTCGAAAAAATTTTATGGAAATAAATGAAATTTTGAAAAAAAATTCGAAGTTTCATTGGGATTTCGAGAAGTTTTCGACTAATAACGTAGAATTTCAGTGAAATTTCAAAAAATTCTCATAAAATTTTAGTGAAATTCCGAGGAATTTCTAAGAAATTACAGGAAATGTCAGTGAAATTCCGAAAAATTTTATGAAAATTTTGTGGAATTCCAGGATATTTCAGTGGTGAAGTTTTGGAGAATTTCAGTAAAGTTTTAAAAAAAAATTTGGAATTTGGAATTTCTATAGAATTTTGGAGAATTTCCGAGGGTGTTTCACCCACTAAATTTAGTACACCTACTGCATTTGACTGCATCGATTGCATCAAAGATAATAGTTGACTGCATCGAATTTTGAGCAATATCTAACAAGATTGCAAGCTCCACTCGCAGCGACTGCTTAGGATTTTGCACGGAATTTATTACGACTGCGAGCGACTGTATTATGACTGCATGCGACTGTATTATGACTGCATGAGTCCATGCATTCCACTGATTGCATGAGAATGTATGGACTGCATATACATGAATGTATGAAATTTGTACACCTACTGCATGAGTGAAACACCCCTCGAGAATTTCATTGGGATTTCGCAAAAAAAAAAATTATGAAATATTCGCAGAATTTCCATCAAATTATGTATAATTTCACTTTGTGTCGACTTACAAAAAATTTTGATGAAATTTCGAGTAAAATTCCAAGGAATTCTCGCCGAATTACATACATGGAATTCCTTGGAATCTTATTGTGGAATTCCAGTGAAATTACATGGAATCCGAAGAATTCCCTTGGAATTAAACAGAATTTCCGTGGAATCCCCATAGAATCACGAGAAATTTCGGCGGAATTCCGAAGGATTGAATTAAATTTTAGTGAAATTCTGAGCAATTTCTGTCGAATTACATAAAATTTTAGTGGAATTCCGAGAAATCTTATACTGTAATCCGAGGAATTTTTTGTACAAGAATTCCATTGAATTTTATGGTGGTATTCCATAGAATCTTATGGTGAAATTCGGAAAAGTATTATGAAATCCTATTGTAAAGTGTATTGTAATTTCCGTTTTTCCGTTCAAATTTGTTATTTGAATTTATAACCTCTAAAAACTTTTCAAAAACCCCTAAAATGCTCCAGAATCACCTAAAATTTTGAAAATCTAAAATCTTTTGAACTCCTGTAAAATCGTGTAAAGATTTTCAAAATCCTCAAAATCTTACAAAATCAAAGTTAACTAATCCTCGGAGCGATTGATTGGTCAAACAAAATCTGTGAACAAGTTGGTCAAAAATAGTCAAATTCTCAGAAAAACTCGTAAGATCTACTTAAAATCCCTGAAAATCTTTAAAATCTTTAAAAATCCAACAAAATCTTCCTAAATCATTAATATTCCTAAAAAAAAAATCCTTTAAAAGTTTCAAAAATCCTTTGGAATCCTCAAAAATCCGTTAAAATTGCTAAAAATCCTTTAGGATCTCTAAAAACCCTTCTATAACTTCCCTAAATCACTTAAAATCTTCTAAAATCCTGCAAAATCATGTGAAGATTTTGAAAATCCTCAAAATCTTACAAAATCAATGAAGATTTAAAATCTGTGTACATATTTTAAGGAGTTAACCACCCCTCGACATTTACCAAACTTACCCATTGTAACCTGGTTGTTCGGCAACCAATCCAAGTTTAACCAGACGCGATTAAACTTAAAAATGTTGCATTTGGACCGAGATTTGGACGTAGGCCCTTCAGAATACAAAAATATTAGATCGAATTGCCCACTCGACACATTACCCGTAACATGTTAGAGGTATATGTCATGTGACGTAACGGCGCGCGAATCGCTTTTTTTTATTGGTTGGTACCGAATTGCCTGTACCAGAATTTAAACGCTAGTGTTGCACAGGTATTTAGTTATAAGATGTTTTTGATGCCAATAAAGATTGAAAATTAAATCAAAAATGGATAGTTAGTTATTGCAAACGTGGAAAAAGTATTGTTCCTAACACGTGCGCAAAGTAGTTTTCCCGCACTTGAAGTTCGCGTCGTTCGAAAACATAACTTTGCGCACTAATTTGGAAAACTACTGTTTTTTTTTTGTTGAAAATTCGATGTATTTGACTTTTTCTGGGTCCTTATTCTGGAAACAGGAGAGCAGCGTTTCCAGGAGAACAAGTGTTCAGTGTTTGTTACTTAAGGACCCTGATCTATATAAAGCCAGCACTATTTTCAGCTAAATCGTCCCTTCCATTTTTGTCTGAATCTATAAATAATTTAGCCTTCACAGATAAGGATTATCAGTAATTGGTTCAGGTTTAATAAAGAAAGACCTCAGAAAAAAAAAACAAAACAATGTGCCCTCGCACGATTCTGCGCAGAACCCAAAATTTGTGCGTAGAATCCGAAATTCGTATACTGAGTGGTTTTGAAACCGACGGTTTTTTAAAGTGTTGGAAGTTTTGGAACAGCTATTATTTTATTAAATATCGTCAATACAGTTACAAATGTATCTCATAAAACCCAACAGACAAGTATGTATTTGCATGATGGAAGTTTCTTTCGAATCCCTGCACTTCTTTTCAATTTTCTGATGCCAGGACCCCAGGTGGATTTTCATTGCTTAGTTTTCCAAATTTTTGGTTTCGCCTATTAAAAGAAGAGTAGAAAAAAGCATTTTCGCAACTGAAGTTTTTTTATCGTCTGTTATATGTATAATTTATAGTGTGTTTATTTTAGTGGCATGCAGACGTAATAATTAAAAGTTGATGAAAAATTTTCTTGCCTCGACTGGGATTTGAACCCAGAGGTAGCTCAGTTGGTTAGAGCGTTGCACTGGAAATGCAGGGGTCTTGGGTTCAAATCCCAGTCGAGGCAAGATCATTTTTCATCAACTTTTAATTATTACGTCTGTATGCCACTAAAATAAACACACTGCAACTTCTTTTGTGATGTTTTGAGGTCTCGGAAACTTCTGATTATCCGACATAGCTTGACAAAATCATCTATAACTACATACGTTAATATTCTAAAAACTTTAATTTGAGATTAATCAGATTTGAATGCTGTGAGAAATAAAAGTTTTCGAGATTTGGGGTCCCAAAGTTATTACTTTGTATTAAATTTTGGTAATTTCTGAATAATGTTAAATGCTTTTTTAGGATTTGTTTTGGTCGAGGTTTTGGTTTTTATTTTTTGTGTTGTTTTGCTTTTATGATTTTGTAAGTTGTAACCTTATTATATCCTCATATTTTTTGCTACTTATAGGTATAGTTTTTAGTAGTTTTCTATTAGTATGTAGGTACTATGTACTACTTATTATTGTTATATTTACTTAGGAGACCTAAAAACAAGAATGTGTATTATGTTAGGATTTTAATTTTTCAGTTTTTCAAAATTTCGATTTTATCCATCAAAAAAGAAGCTTGAATTTAGTGGAGAAGCATTTTTGCATTTTTTTTTTGTAAGGTTGGCTTGAACCTTGAAAAATATTTGAAATTTGAAATTTTCCAAAAATGACACTGAGACAGTTTTTGCCCCAGAGCTCTTCTAATTATTATTTGATTTCAATGTAATTAAGCTCTAATTAAAGCTAAATAAATTCTCTACACACGTGTTAATTAAGATTTGAATTTAGTTTTAATTGTTCCGTACCTGAGAAGCTTCAAAATTGAGTTTATTGAACATTGAAAATTTTCAACAGTTTTTTTCTCACAGATCTGTTAATTTTTATCCGATTTCTGTGTAATTAAGCTTTAATTCTTAACACAAAACTCGTTAACGAAGATAGACAAGTTTGTTTCCTGACATCGTCAATTTCGCAGCGATATCGTGATTCTTTACTTGATACGTTGGTGACTTTGACGAGTTAGGTGACCCACACAATCACCAATTTGCAGCCTTTACATACAACTCAACGAAGATAGAGAAGTTTGTTCCCTGACTTCGTCAATTTGGTTGAGATATCTTAATTTTATATTTGATATACCAATCACTTTGACGAAGTTAGGTGACGAAGACCATCACCAAGTCGTAGGAAACATTGAGGAGAATACCTGATCATCGCCAATGGATGTGGTTATGGAATGTTATTTTTATAGCTGATATACACAGTGATTCAACTTATTGATGGGCAAATATTTCACAAAAAAATCTTCAAAAAAGAGATACTACACTACAATGATACCAAATTTATTCGTGTTTTCTTGAAACTAAAACTGTAAAATTAATTGCTGATGAACTTTACACACCTCATATTATTTTTATTGATTTCCATGTGATTCACACCGATTCTTTTGATTTAACGTTTATTACTACAATCCCAATGTATTTTCAATTTTCAGGATTCTATTTCTACGGTCGCATCTTGGTTGTCGAGCCTTCAGTAACTCGGAGAAGGTAAGACAATTATGTTATTATGTAAACTAGTAGAGAATTTTTGCAACTTAATAAGCATTTGGTTTCTACTTTGCCCTAACAAGACAAGAAATATTTTTTGTTTCACAAGGACTACAAGGAGCAGGCAACAACTTTGCCAAATTGCATATAATTCAATTGAAATTATAAATGCTAAATCAAAAATATTGAAAATTCAGCCAATACAGTGATGTTTTTTATATACCTAGGTTCAAAAAACCTATAATAAATCACATCTGATCGCATGAAATAATAATTACCATGATCCTAGTTAGTTTATTAATTATTCTAATTAGCTCAAGTTATCATTATTCAAAAGTTCAATAGAGTTAATAAAAGCCCTCCCCGGTTTATCCCTTACATAAGTTTTGGACCATCACAGGATACGCGTACCAAGCTCTCCGTTCTGAATTGTTTACAATGGTAAATGGATGGCAACCAACCGGTGGTCAATGCCACATGTTATGGTCCTTAACAATTTCTCGGAAGTGACCCGCTCCCTTCCTCTCTGCCGAAATGCCTGGTGGTGGGTCCGCCTAATACAATTTCTAACGAATATGCAGCGGCGTACGTTATATACCGGCCATATTAAAAATTTCCAATTTTTTGTTTCAGGAGTAGTGCTCCTGCTCCTGCCGGTCAACCTCCCGTTTTGCAGCAGCAAACCAATAAAGGACGGCGGTAAGTTTTTTTTTTTGCTTTTTTATTGGAATTTTTCCCTAAAAAAAATTTGTTTGTACTAAAGGGGATTAACAAAGCAATTATCCGATTTTTTTCCTTTTGCGTAAACATCACGGTTGGTACACAGACAGAGGGGGCACCTGTGCGGGTTTTTTTTTTCGGGGAAAATCCAATAACAAATGCTTCCAATAAAATTGTAATTTGCACAGGGCGCGGTAGAATGGCTAATGATTTTACGCTGTCTGATGCTCCATCCCCCTGTCTCTCTATAAAAAAAAAACTAAATAATCCCTGTGCTTGTTTTGTGGAAAACGTTTTGCAAAGAGGCAATCGGGATGCTCGATGGCCCTTTTTCACGAACGTTGATGGGAATTTCGGTATGTAGCCAGCCAATCGTCAATCATACCTCAGCAGCCATTCAATTTTTTATTTATATGCATGAGGGTGTATAGGATTGTTGTTTTGTTTGGGCTTTGTTTAAAGTACAAATCAATCAAATGAAATCCAAGAATTTATTATTTGAACTTTAATCTTCAAACTAATAACTTCCCTCTTATCAAAGAGACAATTTTGTCCCTCTAATCTGGTTTCATAGTTCATTCTCTTGTTGACATAATTCTTTTTTTTTTTTTTTTGATAACTCGGTGTTCAGATGAGATTAAGGCTTTTGGTGCTTTGAATTTAATCACATTTTTGATTGAAATTTGAAAGAATTTCCATCTTATAAACCACTCCATTAAAAATGGATAGATATATACATTAAAAATTAGGCAATATTGCTTGCCATGACTTATATGCGTTGCCTCTTTTTCATTACCTATTCTATTCGGTCAGTTGTGTATTCACCTTTAAGACTATATATACCCAACAAGTTTTCTAATAATTGAGCCAAACTGAACCTGAGTCTACGAAGAGTTAAAAACTTGAAGAAGAAGAACGAGATGTAGATTAGTTAATTCCGAGCCCGTAGGGCGAGGGGCGAGGGTTTTTCTAATTACCCGAGTCCGAAGGGCCGGGGTTTTTTTAAATCACGACTTTATAGGGCAAGGGTAATATACGCATGAATTTTTATAAAACCCTCGCCCTTCGGGCTCGGAATTGAAAAAAAACCCCGGCCCTGCGAGCCCGCAATTTAAAAAAATATATGGTAACACCGCTCATAACACAACAAACGTCAAAAAACCGACGTTTCAGAGTAGGTCCTTGTTGAAACCAAAATGACGTTTTTAATTGTATAAAAATATTCGAAATGGCCGACTGTCAAAAGTAACAAATGACATTACAAGGCTTACTTGATCGGAAGCCATGTTGTCACAATTACAATCTCGAACGTAATGTTTTTCCAGATTTCAGTGAATAAGACAAAAAAAGAGATAAGGTAGGATAGATTTGCGAAAACACTAAATGAGTGAAACAAAGAGGGAGATAAAGTAGGATGCAATTCAAGTGTTCAGTTCGTTCAAAAGAAGCAAAAAAAAAAAAGATGTCAAGTCAAAGTCTTGTTGTTTTCTGTATAAAAAGGTTTTGCATTTTTGAACTAGAAATGTCAACCGGTGAAGGCCTCAAATCGTATTTTGTCTCTGTTTGTTTGCATATAATTAACAAGGACAAGCAAACTTTTTTTTTTTTCTAAAAATTTTCAATTGATAAATGACTAATTAGGACACAAAAATGACATTTTACAAAGTAGGCTTTGGTTTCTTCTGACAGTTGAGATTAAAATGATGATCATTTTCATTTCATTTGCATTATTTTCGATCAAAATGTCTGTTGTCAAAAATGCCCCAAATTAAGTTTCAATCTAATTTGGCTGTCAATTGTCAAAAGTCATGTAGGCGTGTCAGTTGTCAAAAAAAAAATTTAGTGATTATTCCAGGCGTTTGAACCGAGTGATTTGCAACAAAATCGTACAAAAACAATTGTGTCAAACTGAGCAGTTGAATTGTATGCTACTTTATCTCGTTTTTTGTCTTACTCATTTATAATCGTTTTTGGTTTTTTACTAATGTGTCCTACCTTATCTTCTTCTTTGTTTTACTCACTAAAATCTGGAAAAACATTATGTTTGAGATTGTAATTGTGGCAACGTATTTGAGATGTGGCAACGTCGCTTTCAATCAATAGGTCTTGTAATGTAATGTCATTTGGCATTTTAGACATTCGGCCATTTTCGAGTGTTTTTATATTGATTTTTTGAGGTTTTCCTCGGATTTTCCGCTTTTCCAGGTCGGTTTCGATCCGGAAAACTGTTAGTTATATGCGAGCCCGAAGGGCCGGAGTTATACGAGAGCCCGAGTTATACGAGTGCCCGAAAGACCGGAGGTATACGCGAGCCCGAAGGGCCGAAGTTATACGCAAGCCCGAAGGGCTGGAGTTATTTTGATCACGGGGCCCAGTTTATAATTCTATTGGTCAGCGGATAATTTGGAGCCAATCAAAAATCGGGAATATTCAAAATGTGATTTTTAGCGCCCAATCAAAGAGCCGGGAATATTCAAACACTTTTTTCTCCGAATGACAGTAAAAGCGGCCTTTTAATGACACTTGACAGGATCAAAAGTAGCCTAGGCAGTAAAAGTGAACTTTTACTGCCTAGGCATTAAAAGTGACAGTGTCATAACGTTCCAGGTAATAATTTCACTCAATTTGGTATTTGAAATTGATGTTGACAATTACAATTGTCAAAATAATTTAATTATTTGGATAATAATAATGAATGAAATAAATATAAAAAAGATGTCCATGTGTGAATTTTAACATTCGGAGAAAAAATTATATGTTTTACATGGCAGAAAAGCAGATTTAATGCCTCGGCTGGTTTCCTAGCCTCGGCTATGAAACACCAGCCGCGGCATTAAATCTTGTACTTTTCTGCCTATAAAACAAATAACTATAGTTTTATCAAATTGACTTTGGAATGTTGGTTTCTTAAGATTTTTACTTTTTTTCAGAAAACGGTGGTTTTTGTAAGCATATACTACTTTATCGTTGTCCTTGTCTTACTCACTATAATCAACAAGTAACCCTTGTATTTTTTTTGTTTAATGTCATTTTCATTGAAATTAAACTAAAAACAAGTTTCCGATGTCTTATTTGTGGAATTTTAATTATTATAATCATTATTAATTAACGTTGCTTTTAGTCGGTGAAGTGACGTCTTGTGACTTTTTGCTAGTTTTTCCATGAATTTTCGACTTTTCCGGAGCTTTTTAATGGAAAAAAATGATTTAACATACGAGGCTTTGAGTTTTCTTCATTTTATAGCAAAAATTTCCAGTTTTAAATGCCATAATTAGCAAAATCCCATTTAAAATGGTTTTGATGTGACAACACCGCTTGTAGCTAACTTCAATCAAGGAGGCCTTGTAATAAATATCATTTGCCGTTTTTGACAGTCGGCCATTTTCAATTGACGTGTTTACAAACCAGTCAGAGCGTTTTTGATTGGTGCAAATCGCCAACAACCAATTTTCTGACTATTTTCAACCAATGAAATTCGCTCTGACTTGCTTGTGATTTCTGTAAGAACAGACCTAAATAATGACAATTTTGTAGATCATAAAAATGAAAACATGTATGTTGAAATTTCTCTCAAATCCGACTTGCCATAAGAAGACACAGAATTTCTTCACATATCAGAGTTTAGCAATTGAGATTCGCTACAATTAAGAGATTATTTAGGGCTCAACTTTGATTTGGTTCTTTTCAAAAAAGCAGGGACGTTTGCACTGGCGTAGCCAGGGGGGGCAAGGGGGCATTTGCCCCCCCCCCCAAGACCTTTAAATTTTATAAATAATTCTTCAAAGTTAAAATAAACAGTCCCAAAAATAGCGCAAAGAAACCTAAAAACGAGGCGTGGCACCCAAAAATTTCGCGCCTGCGGCGCTTTGCCTCCGTCAGCGGTCGCGGTGGAGCCGCAAGCAAGAAACACTTCCTGCAAATTTGCCCCCCCAAGACAAAATCCTGGCTACGCCAGTGGACGTTTGTCGATTGAGTATTAGAAGCTATGGGAATGTCCCTGGGAAAGACACAAAAGAAAAAGTCGGGAATCCAAGGCAATAATAACTTGAAAAGGAAAAGTAGAATAAATACTAGGCAGGGCGAGAAGCAGAGACGATAGCACATCTGAATCAGAATCAGACATAAGTTTGTCGAATGAAGTCCTAACTTAAGATGTTTCTGATCTAGAAGAACATCCTATTGAAATGAAAGAAATATCCATTATTTTAGATCCATATTATGCAGTGTAGACCCACAATAGTATCTAGGGTTCAACAACTATTCGCACCTACAACAAAATCGGTGTGGGTCAGTATAGGTTAGTGAATGAAAATAATTAATGAAAATAAAAGTTATTAACTTTTGGAAGAGTTGCAAATATAGAAGCTGCCAATTTTTCAGTGGAAACTTGTTTTTATAAGAGAAAAGACTGTTTATTTTGGTCATATCAACGTGAAACTCAACAATTATTAGACATCATTTTCGTGATAAAATTAGCTAGAAATCGGATGATTGTAGGAAATTAAGCAATTGGGAATGATATAGAGGAATCTCCAGAAAAAATGGAAATCACCTGGTAATCATCCAAAAATATCTGAAAATCATTGGCAATCAGTCGCAATTCTTGGGATGGGAATACATAAGATTCATTGATCAGAGATTCTCAAATATGGAAATCATTGTACATTTGTAAGCATAGTGGTTGACCCCTCGCTCAAATTCTAAAGATTTTTGAAAACTGCGCATGCGTTATATCTAGAGATTGGCTGATTTCGTTAAGATTTCTCCCGAGTTCCTTAAGATTTTCTTATGATTTTCTCTGATTTCTTTATGATTTCCGCCTGGGCTGGAACTCTGTAATGGATAGATATCGTTATACCTATCGCTATGGAACTTGCTGTCTTCTCTCTTCTTGAAATCAATAGAGAGGGGACGTCAATAGAGATAGAGAAAATATCTCTACACGTTACAGAGTCCCAGCCCTGATTGCCTTAGGATAT